GGGGGGGGGGGGGGGGTAAATTGTCGAGAGGCGGGGCAGGAGAGAAGAGCGACATATGACGGCGGAAAGAAGAAATTAGGCCGACATGCATATAGACGACAGAGAGGGAGGGGGAAGGGGGGCAGAGAGAGGGAGAAAGGTGAAACAAAAGCGCTTGAACGGAACAGAGATTACGGGTACTCGCCAACGAATCATCCAAACCACCAACGAACGCAGGGCATGTGTCGTGAGCAGCTCTGCCCTTGGCTCCCTCCACAAGCAAGACCAAGGCCTACTGTAACTGTAACTGTAGCTATAACTGTAACTGTAACTGTGACTGTAACCGTAACACCTCAGAGGATGATTCTCCGTACCAGCGAGGGTGATGCACAACGACGACAAGCAACAATGACAACAACAACGAACGACCACGGCGACGAGGCTTACGACGACGACGACGACAACAACAACAACACCGCTCCCAGGTGCAGTGTATTGTTCTTCTACTGCATGCTGCTACTGCATGCCCAGGTGTGCGGCTGAAACTTTGGTCGAAGCAAAGAAGTTCGTGCAGTATCCTTGCCTGCCGTACCCTAGGCGAGAAGCGCGCGCGAAGCTCTGGACTGCTTGACATCAACAGTACCGACGGCTACTNGGGGGGGGGGGGGGGGGGGGGGGGGGGGGGGGGGGGGGGGGGGGGGGCGGATGGAGGGCAAAGAACCAACTAGAGAAGAGGCGGGGAACAGTACGGACATAGAGGAAATAATCAGGGCATCAATTTCAACTGCACGGTACATACCCACCTCAAAATTTGTCGGTCCTTTGTCTGCCTCGGGGTTCGGGTGCTCTCTCAACTGGACAATGGACAAGGAACGTCGGGAGAAGCAACACACACGGGAAGAGCGAGCGGGCTGCGTGCGTGAGGGACTGCCTTCGCAAAGAGACTAGTCTAAGTCTGCGAAAAAAGACAAGACAGCGGGACACGCTGACCCCAGCCCTAACCCCAACCCCGACCTAGCCGACTCTATACTTTATCCAGCATGTTCGCTGACTTATGTAGAAAGAAAGACCTGCGTAGATTACTGCTGTGCGTGAGAGAAGAGACATACTTCCAAGTAGCACCACTAACAACAGTAGGAGTAAATCAACCAAGTCAACACGCGAAAAATGGTTTACGGTCGCGTGTGCTGATGAACGGCATCAAGCTGTTAGAGGAACCGCCTCTTCAGAAGATAGCAGCGCCCGCCCGCAAGCCACACATGCATTCTATCCCCACACAAGTTCTTGGTGGGGCGGCACGCCGAGCAGCTGCGGAAAAACACAAAAGGCTCGACCGTGGGACACACTCTCAAGACTGCTGGAAAACACACACAAAATCAGGTGTATATCATGAACATTTTCTTCGACGACTTTTGGACACAAGCACGAAGTGCTGGGAACCATACCGTTCGTGACACAAGATACCACATAACCCGGATCGATTTTTCAAAGCTCGATTAATCCACGACGAAGAGGATGCACAAATCATGTGACACGTTCCCGGAAAGCTCTCGACGAGATGGCTCCAACGTCACCACTTTCGGCACCGCGCGATGTTTTCGCTTTTTGGAGTAATCGAGCTTTGAAAATCGTTGCGCGGGGCGTGTTATTTTTTGTCATGTCACCTACGGTACAACACAACAAAACAAAACAAAAAAAACAGTTGTTCCCGCGAACTCTCCAGTCCGGCCTTGACGCAAGACGCCACCAACAACGACAACAACAAGAAAAGCCAACCACGGCCATAACGCCCACCACCAACAACAGGCTATCCATCAATAGCGGTGCTTGTGTGCACCATACAGCAGTGCCTGTACCAAAACGATAGCGTTCCATCAACAGCAGGAAACAGGCCGCACACCTATTGCCCATCTACCTGTACATGTAGTTTCGGTGTAGAAAGGTTTTATCCCTCTTTGGGTAGTTGGCTTGTGACCACGGAAGCCGTCCGCGTCAGTTGGACCAGAGTACGGATATTACACGGTACTGAGCGGAGACCGGAACGGTTATTTAACGTAACACAACAACAACAACAACAACAACAAAAACAACAACATACCTGAATAAAGAAAGCAAATGCTGCCATCAGGAGCAGGAAGCTGCTCCAAACTTTCAGTGCGTTGCGGAGACTCCAGCCGATGGCCGACCTCGCGGCCGCTCCCGCCCCTCGCTGGTTCCCCAACCTCCTCGTGACGCTCGCTCGCCGCGCCTTGGCGAACAGCTTGGCGTTTCTCGATCTCGCCGCCGGCCCCGGCATGGCCATGCCTCCTGTGTAATCGCAGCAGCAATCAATCATGAATCGATTGAGGATTTTTTTTTTTTCTTGAATTCAAATCAACGCTCACAGCACTAGTGCCGTTTAGTCCTACCCGTGGTCACACAGAAGAGCCCCTCTCTACCCTGCTTTCCTGCGGTGCTTTGCCTTCGATTTTTTATGCGAGAAGAGTTCAGCACTCTCTTCACTCTGTGTACACACGAACTAGCGCTACCCACCAGGCCAGGAGCGGAAGCGAGAGAAAAACTCACTTTGCAAGAAAAGCTCGCTTACGCCGGGATTCGAGCCCCTGACCTGACCTCCACAAGGTTTCGGGGATACCAACTAGACCACCGGGGATATGTTGCGCAAATGATTTGCGTGATCATACACACTCGCAGCAATCAATCGTGAATCTCTTGAGCGGATGTTGCGATAACGACTACAAACACACTCGCAGCACTCGTCGTGAATCCTTGATAACTTACTTGTGGTGCAAATGATTCGTAACCCTCGCAGCAAGCAATCGTTTCTCCTTGAAAAACACGCTGTGCAAATGGCTATAGACAGGGAGCAGGAGCAAAACACAAGAGGTGCAGCAAAACACAAGAGCATAACCAAGCAAGAACGGGAGAGGAGCGGGAGCAGGGGAGGCGGGGAGGTCGAGATATATATATGTATATAGAACAGACACGGACGATACCGACGGTGGATGGCAGAGGCATAGATACTGAAAAAATGTAGGTTATCTGTACAGATTTTTGTACGTAGCACCAAATGTTGTCACTGGTATAAATAATCAATGCATAGGCTTAAAAAAACTCGAAGTAAGTCCAGTACCCCGCCGGTTTTATTCCACTCCATTAAAAGATTTCACTACATCCCGTTCGACTGTGGGTATATCTCGAACGGGTATTGTAGTCTTTCCTAAATAGATACCACCCACGCGGTGAGATAATTTGCCCGGTTCAAGATGTGGAGCGGCGATGCATGAGGAATAGTCAAGGATATCGAATCGCTGCTAATGATGATCTGGGTGCAAACTCCGTCCCTCTCATCGTTGTAACTACTTGTACCATAGAGTAGGCTACGGAGTTCCCCACCCACGACAACATCACATGATCATCGTGGAACCACACGTGTTGATACATGTACGCACGCGCTTCTGCACGCTTGAACGCGCTTGACAAGAGGGAATCAAACCGAAACAACGGTGGTCGAGATGGAGAAGCCGCGTTGAACAACATAAAATATATGCTGTAGTCCAAGCGGCATCTCATCGGGTGTATATATATATATATATTTTTTTTTTTTCTCCCATCATTGGACTCTGTCGTCTGCCCCTCTGGCCCCTATCCTCCACTTCTACTAGCTAGACGACCCAACCGGGGTCACATAGGAGGGGGGGGCTGGACCCCCTCCTGCGGTTCCTGCCTGAGGTATTTTTATCGCGAGAAGGGTACAGCAATCCCTTCCCTCGCGACTTACGAAGTCCATTATGGTTTACCAACAACGAGCTGTGCAACGCGTTGCTTTCATCCTAGACCAGGATTTATTGAGTGAGAAAAAAACTCACTCTGCCGGGACTCGAACCCATGACCTGGCCCTAGGTGTGAGTGTGTATGTATCTAATAGTCTATGGAGCAACTGACGGCATTGACGTTGATGTCCAGTATGTTTGGTGGTACAAACTTCTCTAGTCTAGAGCACCTAACGGCCGTCACGTTGACGGATCGCTACTTCTATGTCTCATCGTACATACATCAAACCGAGAATAGAGCTGCCGAAATACCGTAAATGACACAAGATAACACACCCCTGGACCGATTTTCAAATCTCGATTTCTCAACAACAGAAAATAGTCACGGTGCCGAAAACGGCGACGTTGGAACCGTCTCGCCGAGAGCTTTGCAAAAATGTATCGTTTCGTTTATGCATCCTCTTCGTCGTGGAGTAATCGAGCTTTGAAAATTGGTCCAGGGGGTGTGTTATATTGTGTCATATACGGTTTATCTTGTCCTTGTGCGTCGAGGTCAGACTCGCGCATCGATGCCCATCGCCCTCAAGCTATGCGTATCTCGACAAAACTCAAAAGTCTAGGCGAACCTATGTATTGTAGCGGGCATTTCTTGGCACATCCCCAGAGCCCCGGGCAACACCCAACGTAACGGCCGGCCTCAGCACTGCTTATCTACATGCTACCACCCTCTCCGCTTGCGATTACCGATGTTTCCGTCATCACCGAGCTCAAGCGACTTTCCCGGAGGGTATGCAGTACGACGTCTGCGCCTGTACTGCTGTACCGAAGCGGAGCAACTTATCACGTCCTCCAAAAGCCTAACGCTTCATTCAGATGCAGCAACAACATCCATCCGTCTGCTGTTGTGCTTGCCGTCCGTACGCCGTGATTTCCATTGCTCTGCTGCTGTACTGTAGGATTAGTTTCCCGGTTCCCCGGACATTTGTCGAATTGGTCGTGCGCCGCCTCGTGCGAAAGGGCTCACCGTGAGCCAGCCACCATGTGGCGCGCTAGCTCTCACAGACGTTTTCGACCTTGGCTGGCGGCGAACAGACTTTTCGTCCATCGGAAAGCTTGCACCGTCCGACAAGACGAGGACAACCAGAGCGGGAAAAAAGCCGATCGAAGAAGAAAGCCAGGAGGGACGAAGAGGCACGTCATGCGGCAAGCAATGGGGAAAAAAACGCCTGTCCGATACCACGTGAAAACACTTCTTCGCATCGAAAGCTCAGAAGAGCGAGACTGCCGTGTGTGTGGTTGACGTCGGTGATGATGTCGAGTTGGACGTCGAATACAAAAACACTTCAATTTCTGTGGATCTGTTTCCTCCTTTGTGCGACAACGCCCCTCCCCTTTGCGTGCCTTGCGTGCAAATCGGTCCGTCAGTATTTTCCCCGCAAGGAGTCGCCTTCGACGATGTGGCTGTTGACAACACGGATGTGAGATGCTTCTCTGGTGTTTATTTTTCTGCTACTTGCTTTGCTGTTCCTTGTGGTTTACGCTGGTACGCAGGCAGTCCGCGAAACTCGACGTTGCTTGTTCGGTCCCCAGTGCTCATCTCAGTAACTGGTCGTCAGGTCGATGCACGAGGCGTCCTGGCATGATGAATATCGATGGTGGTGTGCCATCATGTTGTCTCATTTGGAGTATTGATGATCAGCGGGGCACCGCTATTGCGACAATTTGATTGATGATATCGAAAAAAAAAATTCAGCTCGAGTTTATTCCAGCAGGTGGAAGTAGGCCCATACCATTGCACATGGACTTGGGGCAGAATTATTTTGCTCTGAAATCAGAGAGAGTTGACGTGGGAATGAATCTGCGACCCCTTTTGCGCGGTGGATGGCGACCAGCGTCTCTCATTAGTACAGGTCGCCACCCCAAAGTAGCGTCTAAGTTAATGGCGTTTGACGTGAACCGTACGTTTCAACAGAACGTGCGGCCGCGCCTGCCGTTGCCTACGGGCAACACGTGGACAGTCCTTGTCACGTTGGTCGGTCGGTTACGACGCGTATGTAGTCCCACACGGCCGACAGGCGTGCGGGGATTTCAATGCCACCACATGGGCGCCAGAAGTGGACGTCGCTCGCGCAGCAATTTCTGGTGGGTTGTGTTGAGTCAGAAAGCGGCGAAGGCCCGGTTAAAAAAATCTTGTCCATTGGTAGGGATTTGAACGACACCACCCGAGACGGAAAGCTCAACGGCCTACAAGGGTTTGCCGAGCTCGTCATCCAACTGACGAAGCGTTTCACGAGTTTTCAGGTCATAACCCAATTCTGATCATGTTGGCGCAATTTTCAGTTCCGATCAACACACCTCTACAAGATTGGATAGTCCAACTCAAGGAAGTCCCCGAAAGGCTGTCGTGTTTTGGGGATCTGTGCGTCCGAATTTTTTTCAATGCGTCTTTGATGCTGTGTGTCGGGGTGGATTTCATAGCTTCAATAAGCTGAGGTTTGATTCACAACCTAACGTGAAGCGGTTGGTTTTGCTGTTGGGAGTCCTCTTTGGGGTCGGCGTGTACCGTCGGGGGGCACCGATTTCAATAGTCAAATGTCTGGTTGAGGGGAGTTCACATGGGTTCGTTGTCGTCTTTCTGAGGGGTGCGTTCGGCGTCCTTCTTGCCGGGGCAAAAAATATAAGAAACACGTTCGTTCGGCAACATTCGTAGTTGATCAGGTGTTAGCAAGTCAGGTAAAGGTTGCTGGGCCGGGATTTTTTGGGGTTGGTGCCGGTGGTCGTTTCCAAAACACGACAGCCCGGCACGGGGAAATATGGGTTCTTGACGGCAGACAGTTAGGGGTGTTAAAGCGGCGGAATTTGGGGCCAAAAAAACGTCCGGTCCATTCGGCAAAATTTGAGGGGTACACGCGGATTTGGTTCGTTATTTGGTTCTTGAGAATCCCGCTGTCAATACTGAATAAACTATACATCAAGTCAATTTGTTTGTACAGGCAGCTCTGCGTCCAGACAGCAGCATGGCTCTTCATGCGTTACACACACCTGGACACAGGTCCAATAGAGGTAACTGTAAGCTCGGTTTTCTCTTCAAGTTAAACGGCGGACGAACAACACCAAAAAACATGTTTTTTTTGGGCTCTTTGCTCCACGCCCAAGGCGACCGTTGCTCCTCTCGACAAAGCGAGCTTACAGCCCTCTACCTTAGGTTTACAGCTATACTACACAACAACCCGCATCCGAATCGCATCAGCCAACCACGAGATCTACTTGTCTGAAAACGGCCCCTCCGTGGGGGGGCTGCAGTGCCCACACCAGCAGACCTCCCAAAAAAAAAAAATCGAGGTCCGCGCCGTTCGGCAGCAGGAGGCGCGCTGCGCGAAAGCTGAACCAACACAAAACGAAGTTTGAAGAGAGGACGGGGCAGTGTATGGTTGCCACGTCAGCAGAAGATAATACGCGGCGCGCTATCGAACGCGGCAGCCTCACCGTCGTAGAGAGAACGCTGGAGGAAACGAAGGAGGAGTTGGTCAACAATAAGAAAATTGTGTAAGAGAGCCAGGCTCAACCTCGCCGCCGCCGACGCTGCTGCTGCTGCTGTTTTTTTCAGCAGCAGCAGCGGCGGCGGCAGGTGTCTGCGTGGCTTCACCGCCCGGCTGCTGCTCGGGTGTGTCATGAGGCATGTGTTCTAGAGTGGGACCGCGCAATGGTGTTGTGCTGTGCCACATAGTAGGGCGCAAAGCACACGGGCGAGCCGCGCCCTCGCGCGTGTGCGTCAGAGGGTCTTTCGGGAGGTTCCGACGGTTTCGTGCAATTTCATTGGTTGGTCGATTTTCCATCAGCAAGATCCGAGGACGCTTTTTCGAATTTTTTCCTGTAGGAAATTTTCCGCTTTGACACCCCTAACAGTAGTTTGAACAATTTTCATCGTATTTGAGTATTGTATGGTGGTTTGTTGGGGGGGTTCTTGGGCCTGAGGGGATTATGAAGGCTTCTCGTGGGGATAAAACGTGGGGATAAAAACGGGTCCCTGCCAAGGATAGATCGAATTCCATGGGTTTTTGAGTATTGCTGTTGCGCCATTGTCGAGATGGATATAAACAGTACGCGTTGAAAACTTTGTCGCAAGTTAAGAGCTGCTTCGAGGGAGAATAGACAATACCAGTTTCAGTACGGAAATAGTACTTGAATGCCAATTTCTCTCGGGAGGAACGAGTGACGTTGTGGATTACTGTTTGACCGAGTGAACATTTTCCACGATGCCAAAAAGCACTTTGGGGGAATGTCGCACGAAGTAGGCTCGTTTCAGGGGATGTTTGGGTTGTGTCCCCGGTTTGCGGCTCAATTGACATGTTCGGTCTTTGAATGTTTGGGTAGCCGCGCTGCCTCGCACGAGTCCATAAGAGAGAGTCACCCAGGGCAAAGAGCAGAAGGCGAGCTTGAGTGCCCGGTTACCAGTGCGTTGTCAGAGTTCGAAGCGGTGGTAGATGGATCCAGGACGTGAGTGCAGGAGTTCGGTTGAGCAGCAGCAGCAGTGTTGATTGACCGGAGTTGAGTGCGGCAGCAAAGTGAGCAATAACGACAAAGTTTCCTCTTTCACCCATCAGCTGTATTTGATCTACACGCCTCGGCGACACCCCTTCGAGACCTACCTGAGAGCATATCCGCAGACAATACCTCGAACCAGCATCTAGAACCGGATAGTGTAGAGTTGCAGCGCTCTGCATTACGTTGGTTGATTGGGTCATCAGCAGAACCCGATGGCCAAGAGCATAGTACTTCTATAACACTACTGACTGCTGTACTGTCGACCCCGCTTTAAGGACGCACATGGTTTTTCCTGAAAACAAGCGGCCTTAAAGCGGGGTTGCGTCCTTAAAATTCAGGGAACGATAGCTCACCATCCCCGGGGCCAATGGAGGCATGCTATACCTCAAACTACGCGTCTTTTGCTAAGGAAGGGGGGGGTACGAAAAGGCAGCATCGCCGAGACGACTGGCAACCGTTTGTTGACGTCGAACATATTAATAATGCTTGAAATGAGATGTATAGCAGTCGAGGACGTGTTGAAAACAAGTGCAGTACACCAGTTTGTACTTGGCCAACTAATGTACTGCATAGCCGGCAGCGGAAGAAGGAGAAAAGTCCATATATTTATCTCATTTTTGTGAAACAAAAAAAAAACGAGCGTATTTCAGCGTCGCACCGAGGAACACCAGTACATATCACTGTCCCGGCGGAGACCAAAAGCTACCCTGATGGCTTTTCCTTTCACATATCGCGAAGAGTTCCCTGAATCTCCCCCCGCGGCTTGGCTCTACGGCTCTGTTGAGTTTCATGTGCAAACGAATGAACGGTCTTCGAAAGAAGGCACTGCGTCTCACGATACTCGCCACCCCTTCCCTTCGCGTAAAAATACAGATAGCGCCCGCAGTTGAGAAAAATTCTGTAAGAAAAAAAGGCTCAAGTTTGTACGAAAAATAAGCAACAAGGGCTAAGAAACATAGCTCAATCTCGGCCACAACGTAAGAAACGCCCCAATAAGAAACGTGATGGTGCGATACCCCCATGACATCAGAAATCTGCGGTGCTCCCAACCCCCTCCCNCCCCCCCCCCCCCGCCCCCCCGCGCCCCTGCTGTTCACAGTGAGTGCTGTGCTGTAGTACTGCCACACATCATCACGGACGACCATATGCTCTCTGCTGTTGTACAATTGTACGGGTTTGATGGCACTCTCCATCACCTCTTTTGAGGGCTTGATGTGGATTGTCCTCAGAGATCAAACGACAGAAAAAAGAAAATACGAAGTACTTGTTGTAGTCTAAGGAATAAGAGAATCGGGAGGATGCGATAGTCCAAAGGAAGAAGAAATGCCATTTACCAAATGGACGACTTGGGCCGGTACTTCGACCCAAAATAAGGGATTGGTGAGGCTCGAACCAATTTTGACGTTTCTTAACTGCGGGCGCTATCTGTAGGATCGAACGTCCTCCAAGCGAGAGGTAAACTCGCCCTCGGTGAGGGACGAGGTTATGCACGACTTTTTTTATGGTGGCATCAGATGGACCGCCGGTAGATGGGAGGAATTTATCTATACCAACACCCAGTTGCAGCTGCAGCAGCAGACCGCTCGTTACTTCTGCTGTCTGTGCGTCGCTACTTCTGAACTCACTGCTGTGGTGCGTGGTTCGTCAAAGAGCGGCCCGCCGCGCAGGACACAAACAAGGGGGTACGCGGCAGAAAAATGGGGGTAACCCCTTTATCGTATATTCTGCCGGGCCCCCGGTGCTCAGCAAAACAAGTTTCCTTTAAGCGGGGAGTTTCCTCAACGCGAGCGTCCTTAAAGCGGGGTCGACTGTAGTAGAACACTTCCGCCCTATAGACTCAGGTTTGAGAGCCTGAATTTTGGTCAAACTACCCCCCTGAGATTGCAGGCCGCGCACAAAATTGGGTTTGCTCAGAACGGCACGCCTACAAACACCACACTATGTGTTGCCGCTGTTTTAGCACTTGTGGCTCTCTGCCTGGCCTCTCAGGATGGCGGAGAGACCAAAGCCCTGCTGCGGAGTGCATGCGGCACGATACCACAATGGAACAATCCAACAATATCTGGTTTGTACGGTAGTACATAGTAGTAGTGGATGGGCATGAAGGAAAGCTGGAGAAGTTCAGCACAGATGCAACGACACTCTGCAAAACCGCATGCGCTCAGCACACCGACCAACCTCCTGCGTGACGGCTCCGCCAAAGAGGACACACCCGAGCAGAGCAGGAAACCTCTCACCTGCTAATGCTGAAGGCTGGTTAGGAGGCAGCAAGAACCAAGACTGCCTCTACCCGATTACTTCTCCGACTGGAGAGAGAACCACAAGTAATCAGGCCTCTTGAAGAATCTATCGTGATAAGCAAAGGCAGTAGTCGCAGCTTAGGCCACAGATGTAGCACTTCACGAGCGCTCAGTCTGCAGCTGGCAGTGGCTGCTCCAGCACGGAGTGACAATGGTTGGGATGCGAAACAAGCAGGGGGGGTATAAACAACCACGGAACCCCCAAGGTTCGCTGATTGCTGATTGGTTTTTCTGTGCGGCAGTGCGGACCCGGAACGAACCCGCGGATTGATCTCACATGGACATGAACATGTACTGAATAGACTTTACATGCACGTATGCATACGCATAGCATTTTTAGTTTTCTTACAATGCACAAAGCCATCAAATATTATAGATACATGGCAATCCAACGTCTCACAGGCACCAGTCGCCAAGGCACAGCAGTACATCAAAATCTTGAACTTTTCAACGCCGGAATGAACCAGGAAACGAATCAGCTACCCAGGAATAACAGATACGTACAACGTGCTCGTTTTGAGGCAGCGTGGAATAACGGTTTATCACGCGAGAAATATGTATACCGTAAGTGACACAAGATAACACACCCGGTGATAACATTTCTGAGTTTTAAAATAGTATCCTGTGGGGTGTGTGGTATCTTATGTATCCCGGGTGATAAAAGTGCAGCTCGCAGGGAGCCCTAA